TGGTCAAATATATCATAAGTATGAAAATATATGCGAACTCTATAGTCAAGGCGCGCGCTTGCGCGCGTAAATTCAAATTCTAGTTCACTCTTATAATTTAGATGAAAAATATGAAAATATATACATTGATGAAGACATTTTATTCGTAATGTGATTGGTCAAATATATTATATGCATGAAAATATATGCAAACTCTATAGTCAAGGCGCGCGCTTGCGCGCGCAAATTTGAATTCTAGTTCCCATAATTAAATTGAGATGAAATGTATGTGAAACCAATCTATTCGTGATGTGATTGGTTGAAAATATTTATTCTCATTCTGATTGGTTGAAAGTTAATATAATATACATAAACGACACATAAATATATCATGACAATAAATATGAGGCGCGCGCTTGCGCGCGAAAATTAAATTCTAGTAAACTAAAAGAAAAATATATTTCTACGTTGCAGTGTTAAATTACATACATAATTAATTTTGAAATATATAAGTATAGTAAAATTAAGGTAAAAAGTTTTTATTTATTATGTTATTATTATTATTATTATTTAATATTAATAATATATATTTATAGCTTTATAAATAAATTTATTGTTTAGAATAATATACGACAAGCATGCATGAGTATAATAATTATGTCCGTTTTCATTACAAGATCTATTGCAAAAAAGAGTGTGACATAATTATTCTTTGAGTTAAATTAAAAAAATTTTTATGAAAAGTTAAAAAAAAAAACGTATTAGGATTGTTCAATTTACACTAGACTTCTTTTTTCTTTTATGTCGGTAAAGGAATTCTTGATAAATTATTTTTTTTTACGATAATGATAAATTAATAACTTTAAAAACAACGCGGATAATTCCTTCAAGTAAACATACTTTTTATTACTTGAATGATAAAAATATTTCACTAGAAATTATATTGTAACTCAAAAGATATAAATAATAATAATAATAATAATAATAATAATAATAATAATAATAAATAAATTTATTTTACAGATAAAAGATAAAAAAAATGCCGTTACAAAAAAGTAACCAACCAATACTTAAGAAAATTGAAACTTGGGTTGTCAATAATGTAGATCAGTACAACTTTATTGATGAATCAGTAAAGGATTCTGTTTTGACTTATGATATTCATTCTGGACTCGATGGTACAGAGAAGTGGGTTGTCAAGTTAATATTTTATCATAAACCCAAGTTTGTAGTAAGAATCGGGGCTGTCTTCAAACCCGTTAATGAAGATGAAATTAAACATCACGTAGAAGTCACCATGTACGTTCTTACTTCTCAAAATTTTTATCAGCCACTTGATCGAGAAATTCATCGAACCGACACAGGGCTGATTAATGGAGTGAAAATCCATACTGTTTTGAGTAACGAATCGATTAGGAAAAGACTTTTAAAGAAAAAGATTGAAGCACCGGAAACAATAATTAATAACACAATTACACTGCGAATTGAACTTATAACGTATTTAGATCCTGAGCCCATGTTTCTATTGAATTCATTATTTAGATTCATGGCAGATGTTCAACAACCAGACTGGATTTTAAAATTATATGAAACTAGAAATGTTAGCGGCGATTTAACAATTAAGATACAAGATAATGAATTCCGAGCCCACAAACAAGTGTTAGACCAACGAGGCTTTGCATTAAATAATGCAACTACCAACGAAAATAATATTTTTATTCTTTCAGGCATAAGTCCTGAGATATTTGGTATGCTATTGGAATTTGTTTACACGGGAGCTATCAAGAAATTGGATGATTTTGCTGAACCTTTATTAGAAGCTGCAGATCGATTTAAACTTGAGGATCTTAAAAATTTATGTGAGAAGTCGCTATTAACAGAAAATTATGTTAATTACAACAATTTTGCTGATGCCTACGTTTTAGCTAAACGCTGTAATGCTCGTCAATTATATGGCTATGCTAGGTATATGGAATCCGTGCTTTCTAATATAGACTGTCAAAGATGGTCTAAAAATAATCCGCCAACTGCTGAGCAATTGGAAAAATATTTATTGCCAATAAAAAAAATACGGGAAGCAGAAAAAACTTCAAAAAGTTCTACAGCAAATCCTTCTGATCCTGTCGATGTGTTGAACAATAGCGGTAGTAACTTTTCTACAAATGGTACGTTTAAGTTGACTCATTGACATATTTTTAGTTTTTTGTTCTCAGTTGATTATTATACTAATTTCGGATTTATTTTTTTAGATTCGAACACGACAGCAACAGCAATGTCAGCATTTCTAATCAAGATAAGTTAGTTTCAATTAATAGCTTTGACATCTGAAAGTGAAGTAAAAATCAACCAGTTAAATAATATTATTCCATTAACTGAAAGACGATTTACCTCGAATTAAGGTTGAATCATTTATATCATCTGTTAGCATTCAATTTTTCATAAAATGTTTTGATGATTAAAAAAAATAAAAAGCTTTATAATTTTTTGAATAATCATAATAACAATAAAACTAAAAAATAAATAATCTCATTGTTAATTAATTTGCCCACATCAATTTTTCATATAAAATATATGTATTCACTAGCTGTTACCCGCTCGCTCCACTGGGTGCTTTAAAGAATTGTATTTTCAGATCTAGATTTGAAATTTAATCGGAGGATTGTTTTGACTTGCACAGATCCACAGATTCGGTAGAATCTGGCGCCAAGTTCCGTTCAAACCCGTTGTAAACGGAGCGCCAGACTACCGAGTGTGTTTACTGTAAGCAGAACGGTATTTCGAGGTTGCAAAATTTTATTTAATTCTACGGTACTTTTTTTTCCTAAATTTTATATTATAATAGTAATTCATACTTTATTTTACTGATATTAATTAATTATATTCAATTATAACAATTAATCTACTTGAAATTATTAAATTTAATCAGCACAAACTATAGCAACGCAAAAATTTCGATCCTGACTTTTTTTCGATGGGCAAAGTGATCTGCCACAGACTACATAATTCGATAGTGCATAGTAATCCTCCGATAGATGGGAAACTACAGTTTTTTTTTTTTTTATATTCCTTGCTGGTATAGTCCAGCTGGCCTCTATGAATATCATGTACAGCAAAGAGTATAAGATACTCTTATACTCTTTGATGTACAGCCAATGTTTGTTCGGCAATATGATGTATATAATGTTCGGCGTATGATGTATATAATAAATAAATAAATAAATAAATAAAAAAAGAATTAAAATTAATTTAGCAGATTTTTGATAATTTAAAGAATTATTTAAATAAGTAAATTAACTCAAAATAAAATGAGTAAAAAATTGATTTGTAGAAATTTTAATAAATTACAAATGGAATTTTTTAAAAATAATTTTTTGGAAAAATTTGCATGTTAAATAAAAAAAAATTTTTTCAAAGTGACAGCTAACTTTAATATCATGTAATAAGAATTTTTTTAACATGCACGTGTAATGTACATTACAATTTAACTTCAATAATAAAAACCATATTAAATTTTTAAATAAAATATATCAATAAATTTTTACAGCAATCGAACTTACCAAGTTGAAATAAGGCGCCATTTCTTCGTGACATTTCGCAATTCCGATTATCCTCAAGCTTCTCAAGTAAACTGTTGTAATAGTTTTTATTGGTTTTTATTAGCTTTGATTTTAGTTAGCTTTTAGCAGTTGATCAATAATATTAAACAGATATAATATATAACAATTTAAAAAATTGAAACATGATTATACTATTTATCAAAATTATTCTATAACGATAGCAATAAATAATTATCAATAATAATAAATTCATACAACGGTACGTATTTTAATTGATAAGTATTTATGTTTTAAATAAACAATCAGTAAATAATGAATGTGAGTAAATATTACTGTAATTCATCAAGAGGCGTTTGTTGATAAAAAACAAACTTCGTAATAATGATGACAGTACTCCAATATCGATAAAATTTATAAAAAAAGAAAATTGCCACACTTTTTAACTCAGAGGTTAAAGAAACAGCTTTTAAATATATCATGATACTTATTTGTTGATCTCATTATTTTTTTTTTAAACAGGGTTGAAAACGTGCAATAAATTGAAACATGTTGGAGAAAATAAATAAGGAGCTAGTGCCGATAAAGGCACATTATTTTTTATATAATGCTGGTAAGTTACAAAAAATTGCTCTTTGGACTATACTTGGACTTGGTATTTTACAAGTATTTATGTTTTATCAATATATTAAATATTAATAATGTTAAAAGAAAAAATTTTTTTTTAAATTACAGCAACAGGCCCAATAATACCATTTTTACCAGTCATCGCAAAACAACTAGGATTCTCTGGATTTTTAGTGGGTATAATTTATACAATTCTTCCAATATCAGGACTGTTGGCGAAACCGTTATTCTGTAGCATAGCTGAAAAATTTAATCTGCATAAAATATTCTTTCTTACCTTTCAAGCAATACTCGCTATCTCATTTTTTTCGATATACTTTATACCCAAAATAAATCACCAGTCAATAGGTAATGTCACATTGGCATGTCATGCAGAAACGTATCTTCATATATGTCCATATAACACGAGTGATAGATTTTCTGATGAAGCTCTGAATCAAGCTTCTGTATCCAATACCACGCATTCTTCTTGCAAAGTACATTATCATTCAAAATTAATAATTAATATTTAACTGGTCTTACAAATTGATAATTAATGTTTGTTATTTGTTTAGCTGGCTTGTCAAGGTTCGTCGGAGGCGTTCAGCGAACTTTGCCATGGTTGGCAATTGAATCAATTTTGTGGACTAGTCAATGCAAACATGGAGCCAGATACCAAATTCGAGTTTACGGCTGGATTTAATATAGATGATAATCAAAATGTAATTAATCAAAGTAATTGAAATTAATTTGGTAATTATTTATAAGTGGGGTCAACCCTATTTTGGGCTATAACTAGGTAAAAAATTAACATTTTCAAATTTTTTTTTTTTGACTCTGCTTGTTTTTACAGTGCATTTATGATAAAAAATGTCGTGGAAGAAAAAAATAAAGATTTTTATAGCTTTTTTGCCTTCAAAAATTGGAAAAAATTTTGGCTCTCGTGTTTTTGGATAAAATTTCTATTTCATCTTTTTTTGATGTTTTTAATATAGTTTTTTTTTTTTTTTTTTTTTTGAAAAATACATTAAAAAAAACGAACAATTAAAAGAAAAAGTTGAATATCACAATTTTCTAAAAAATTTATAAATTTTTTTGAAAATTTGTTAAAATTGTAATAATCAACTTTTTGTTTTTTTTAATTGTTCATTTTTTATGTAAGGTAAAAGACCCAGTTATTGACACTTGCAATTGTATTTTAATTAAAAAAACACAAATTAAGTCTAATAAATTAATAAATATAATTTTTTAATTATAAATTTTAAGATAATTAATTTTTTGAAAACATTTTATTTTTTTAATTAGAGTAAAATTACAAGTGTTAAACAACTAGGCCAGTGTGAATAACTGGGTCTTTTACCTTATTTAAAAAAAATACATCAATAAAATCAAATAGAAACTTGGTTCAAAAAAATAAAAATTAAAATGGTTGACCCCACTTGTAAATATTTACCATTAATTCAATACTAAATTATTAATAATTTTTTTTTCAGATAATGTCTTGTTTGCATGTTAAAATAAAAAATGCAACATTTGATGACGACAAGCCTGTTCATCCGTTCTGTGACGTGAAAGATAAACCAATGTACACTCAATGTATGGCTAATTGTACGGATGTACCAGAAATGAAAAAGATATTTAATGAGCTAAACGGTAAAGATACCCACCTGACCACTAACTATCAATTTCACTTATTTTTGTGGTCTTGTGTTGTCAGTTGGATTGGTATGGCTGTAGTTACTAGTATTGCTGATTCTATTTGTAATGATATTCTAGGTAAATACTTTAATTAAATCAATGATGAGTTTTACAAAGACAATAATAATTCTCCATTAATAATTTTGTAAGTTTAGGCAACGAACGTATCAACGAATTTGGAAAACAAAAATTATGGGGATACATTGGATTTGGAATTTTTTGTATCAGTACTGGATACTTAGTTGATCTTTTCAGCAGAGGAATTCCCGATAAAGATTACTCATGTATATTTTATATCATGTTAGTAGGCATGATATTTGATATAATTGTATCAGGAACTTTAGATAAAGTATTTAACTATAATTATTTTACATAATAATTATTTTAAAATAATATTTTATTGTATATTTATTTTGTAAATTTATTTTAGAAATCTGTAGATCGTACTGATGACGATCCGTCTGTTTTATGGGAATTGGGAGCAGTAGCGCGAGAAGGCCGAGTATTAGTATTTATTTTTTGGTGTGTCGGCGCTGGAATATGCACTGGAGTCGTTTGGAATTTTTTATTTTGGTATACGGAAGATATAGCGACAAATAAAGATTGGCTGAAAACACTTCAAGGTTTACTTATTGGTGTCCAATATTTCTTGGGCGAGTTGCCGTTTAATTTTATTTCTGCGCGAGTACTTAAAAAACTTGGTCATATTAATGTAATGAGTTTAGTTTTGATTATTTATGCAGTAAGGTAAAATTACTTTTAAACTTTAATAAATTTAATGATTACTGGTGTTGTGACTAAATTATTATTTTTTTTTTCTTTTAGGTTTATGGCATATAGTTTAATTACAAATCCGTGGATATATATACTCGTGGAATTACTTCACGGACCAACTCTGGGTCTCTGTCGGCCAACAATGATTGCTTATGGAGATAAAATAGCTCCTTCTGGTACGAGAGCGACGATGCAGGGTCTCGTCGGAGCTATTTTTGAAGGAATTGGTCAGTATCTAATCATCATCATCAATCAGCAACTACGTTAAGAAATATATGTAAATAATTAATGTTTATTTGCAAAACAGGTGTATCTATAGGTAGTCTTATTTGTGGACGACTGATGGATGACTACAGTGGGATGCTGACATTCCGCATATTTTCCGTTGGTGCATTATCTTGGTTAAGTATATACTGGATGTTACAGTTGTTATTGCGAAAAGCCAAGGCTTACCCACTTCACCAAGGCCACAGTCGTAAGTCACAAAAGTTGAATAAAATTTAGCTTGATAATTAATGAAAAAAAACTTTGTTTGCAGATTTGGCAAGTTATGCAACGCCAAGCGATGCAATTCTTATGACAACAAGCCAAGAACTTCAAACTTATTAACAATAAGTTTAAATATTGATCACATGTGATTGGTGCTTTCACAGATTTTTTAAAATGTTTAATACTTAAATTATAATTGTCTATACACTCATTTGTATCGTTTCTCAACCAATCTATATTTGTAAACCTCGGTGATTATTAATCTTTCGGATAAAAATAATGTATTTAAAATTTTATAATTTTTTTTTATATGCGTATAACGCTATTTAATAATAAACTTTGATATTATAATATTGTAGATTACTCCGAAAGGTTAATAAGATTGTGATTATGTGATATTTCATGTTTTATTATTCAGTACCTCAGTATTATTTACGAAAGAACAAATCACTACAATATTAATACATTAATTAAGTACTTTCAATAGCTTTTAATCATGAATTTGTACTATTTTATAAATCTATAAATTCAATAATAATAATTAACAAGGTCAGGATTAAGTAAATCTTAATTAACATAATTGTTTTGTTAATTTTCTTTTTTAAATAATTTTATTAACAGTGAAATTACGAAGAAGCTTTATTAGCCAATTTAAAATAGCGACACAAGTCACGTCAATTTAAAATGTTTACAATTCTTCACATTATTATTTCATACAAGTTTTATAATTAGTTAATTTATTTATTATTATTTTTTCAATATATAGATGTATATGTGTATACATATACGTAAATATATATGCTATTAAAAAAAAAGGTTTTGTTATATTGTAAGGCTGTCTCAGGACGTTCATTATCAAATTTAATCAATTAAATGTTTGTCTATTTATTATTTGTTATCATTCTCTTTTTGTAGCGTTGACGCTAATTGCAAGAGGCCTTAATTATTTCAGTTAGTTTGTTTTTTTTTTTTTTTTTTTTTTTATCATCTTCGTAATAATAGTTATCATTAATTATTGTTATAATTATTAAAATTAATATTATTTATTATCCTTATATTATTTTGTGTTGCGTTAGATGTATAAATGATGGCATCAAAGTCTCACTTTCGTCGTTGGCTTGTTGTACGTACAGGTGTCGTCGCTTGACTCGAAGATTGAGGTACAGGTTCAACGATAGCCTGAAGATTTGCTATTTCACCTGCAGAATCACAGCAGTCGCTCATGATACCAGTGCTCGTGTGAAAGGCAATGCTACCTTCACTAGAGGACGCAAGACTACCAGAAAGCGGTGGCGATGCCGAGTAAGCTATATTATTCGAATTCGAAGATCCTGCAGCAGCGACTGCATTAATCTCTCCACAATTAGCAACTTCAAGATTACGATGCAGTTCAAGAATCCGACTCTCCAGCGACAAATTAATGTTCACTTGCGCCTCGTACTTAGATTCAACAGCGCGCAACTCAGCCTCATGTCGTTCTTTAGTTTCTTGTAAAATACGTTGTTGATCTATCAGCTGAGCCTCAATATGAGTTTCGCGATGTTCCAGTTCAGCAAGTCGTGTCCTCAGAGCATCAATTGTCGATGTGCGTGAGTCTAATTGTCGTTTCAACGTCGCCAATTCTTCCTCGTAAGAACGATGCATTTGAGCTGCCTCCTGTCTCAGTATTGGCACTGGTCCCGAAGAACGTTCGTGATATTTAGTCTGTGCCTCACCAAGTAATAAAAATTTTTTCTGTACATTATCAAGAATCCTTTTAAGCTCATCGCTGCGACTGGCAGCTTTCAGCGCGTCTTTAAGTTGATGAGCCGCGTCGAAAAATGCCGCTTCGGCCACACGTGTTTGTTGTTCACACTCTGCAACTTTCGTCTTTTCTTTTTTCATTTCTAATTCTAGCACTTCGAGATTCTCCGTCAGCTTACGATTACGATTGTATTCTTCTAGGCACTTTGACTGCCAGTTATCAACGGCTTTCTTATAATCTGTCTCGGTAATACGGCTCTCACGTTTACTTCGTTCTATCTCATTTTTTAAACCTTCTACTTCACTTTCCATTATACGCAGTCGATCAGCTAACTCAGTTTTTTGTTCTTGAAGTGTACGCGAGTCTCTTAATTTTCCTAGCAGTCTGCGGTTACGTTCAGCATGAACTTCTCTACGCTGTCGTTCAAACAGTAGCTGCATTTGCATCAACTGCAGTTGCTGATTAACTGACTCAATGTCAATAAAACTATCCTCGTTCGTATTATCACTGTTATCATCATCTAGGCCTTTCTTTTTATTAAAAGATCTCACTTTTTTATCTTTAATCGACAAAACGCTGGCGCAATTTTCGATATAACGATCCAGCATCAACGTAGGCGATAATCTTGAATCAGGATTGTTATAGTTATTGTTGTTATTATTATTATTATTATTATTATTATTATTATTATTATTATTATTATTACTGTTGCTGTTACGACTTGTTTGCTGGTCATTACCACGTTGATCTACGACCCCATTCAGTAAACGCTCGTAAGGGAACAAATCATCTGTCTGGATACTCGTTTCATGCTTTTTTTCGTCTTTTATATCAGAACATGATTTTGATCGACGTATTTTTACATTTGGATATGTTTTAGGACAAGTTACTGGCGCTGTAGACTGGCAAGGTGAATCAAATTTACATAAATTGAATTTTTTTATTAAGTTTTTACTAGCAAGTCGCAAACAATCGTCGCGGTTTCTGTAAGGTTCGACATGATGTACTTGAGGATTTTGGCAATTTACTATTTCTACAACCTGGAAATTATAAATCAATTATAAATTAAAAAAACAATTACTAAGACTTTAATAAAAATAATTGGTAATTATTTACAAGTCGGGTCAACCTATGCTGGACCATGTTAATATTTTTTTTTTTTAAATCAAATTGATAAATTTTTCTTTTCAATTGTTCGTTTTTTTATGTACTTTTCAAAAAAAAATATGTCAAAAACATCAAAAAAAGATAAAATTGAAATTTTATCTAAAAACATGAAAACCAAAATTTTTTTTAACTTTTAAGGGGGTCACACCACTGTGACGATAAAAAAAAAAGGTGATTTTTGGGAATTTTTTCGACAGGGAAAATAAAAGAATTTGGGGATCGAATTTTCAAAGAAATGGCGACTGATTGAACATTTTCTCATTATTTGTACTGTTTGTTTTTTATTTTATTTTAACCCGGCTAAAAAGATTTTTAAAATCAAAATTTTTGACTATATCCTTACTGATTAAATAGCAATTTGGGTTTTTATTTTCAGATGATCTGCTTTTGAGTTATCGAAGCAACCATGGAGGGGGAAATTTTTTTTAGTGCTCTGCGAGATTTTTAATAACTTTGTAATAATTAAATATTTTTTATTAAAAATTTAGGGTAATAATCTTCAATGTACCCTTAATAAAATAAAAAAAAATCCAATCCCCAAATTCCTTTATTTTCCCTGTCAAAAAAATTCCTAAAAATCACCTTTTTTGTCGACCGTCACACAGTGGTGTTCCCCCTTAAAGGCAAAAAAGCTATCGACATTTTTATTTTTTCCTTCAATGACATTTTATATTATAAATGCGCCGTAATAGCAAGCAGAATCAAAAAAAAATTTGAAAATGTTAATTTTTCACCTAGTTATGATCCAAAAAGGGGTTGACTCCACTTGTAAATAATTACCAAATAATTAAATGCCTTTTCAAAATTAAAAAAAAAAAAAATTGAAATAAAAAAAATACTCACCTCTTGATCTTCTTTCCACGAGTCATTTCTACCATTTTGACTTGAACTAGTCTCCAGTATTTTTTTCACACCTTCAATATTAATCTGCTGTACAGTGCTGTTTCTATCAGCAAGTAACTTGCTAATTTTTTGCGAAACAATTCCTTCTTTTTCCATCACAGGTATAAATGATAAAGCATTGATATTGCTGATAGGCGTAGCAGGACGTGAACTACCGGTCAAAGAGCCATTGCCAAAAGCACTGAGAGCTCGAACAGCAGCAGACCCTACGGAAGTTGATCTCGTAGATGTTTGTCGGATATCCTGTAATCATAAATTTAGTTAAAACAAATATATAAATAAATAAAAATAAAAAAATACCTTAACAGGTGTTGTTTCAGGCGTAGCTTCAATAGCAGCTTCTGGTGGAGACGAGTTACTTCTGCTAGTACTATTGTTAGGCGTTGAAGGAGCAGAACGTGGTTCATAAGTCATAGTTTGTATAGACTTAGGACTATTGGGTGGTATCTTCATACTCGGTGACCATAACATGTCTTCTTCTAAATCATTATTCATTTTGGTGCCTAGTGGATCTCCAACAATATTTATTGGCGTCAAAGGACATTGCTGATCCGGTAATGGAGTAGCGCGCAAGTTATTAGGCGCATATATTTCTTCTCTTCTGTCAAAAGCAAAGTGCCCACACTCTGCCACGACATCATGGTGCTCCATTTGCTTCCAACGAGCTGGACTGGTTTCTGTATCTCTTGAGGCTGTTATCAACAGCGGATGCATCCTCACCGAGTCTAACATTGGCTTTATCGTGTGCTTAAATGTTGCAAGATACTCGTGATCACGTTGCGCGTGATGTGTCCGCAAGTATGATATTAAATTACACGGATACATGGCGTACAAACGATGAAAGAAATTGTAAAGACCCACATGAAGATGCAGCAGATAAAATGAGACCTTATCTGATAAATTATTTTGAGAGTTGGAATGAGTGTAATAGTACGAAGCTAGGCGATTGAATACATCAAAAATCTCATTGAGATACGGCCCCAAAGCTGCTGGTAACATCGGTAGTAAAGTCACCAATAAAAGTAAGGCGCTTACTATTAACAGTGCATCCACTTCGTTTTTCAACAACTTCAACAGCTCTCGAAATAACGAATGATTTGTCAATTTGTACAACCATGTTGGCTGTCTTCGTGCAATGTGTCCCAATACTAACAACGCTTGAACCCGCTGACTGGGGCGAACTGGTTTTGCCAGTGTATCTGTTAAACGATCTAGCAAATGTTTGTCATGCGGTTCACGTACTCCAGCAAGAACTTCGATTGCTCGCAATGAATTTGTGGAGAAGAAATAATCAAGCAGTCCATTTACAAGACAATTGTCTTTATCTGTAATAATTTTATTTATTATTAAATATTATTCATTAATTATCGTATAAAAGTAATAAGTTACGTCCAAATAATAAATCTAATTTTAAATAAATAAAGAAAAAATTTGTAATTTTATCATGTTACTTATTTGGAAGTACAGCTGTAAAATGTATTTAATACTCACTTGATAAAAAATGATCATGGAAGATTTTTTTTATTTTTTCAACCTCACTTAATTTATTAGACTCCAACAAATCAAACAATTTTTCAACTTCACTGTTGCTACCCATACCGATCACTTGCAAGTTTGTTTCTTTTTTAAAAAACTTATCTTGGTTTGTTTATAATAAGATCTTTGGCTCACAGAGAAAATGAATAATTTTTTGGTTATTTACTGGTGACTTGTCTGGTAGCCATTTGTTAATTATCGCTTAACTTTGGCTACCTAAAAGTTTATAATTTATGACCTATAACAATAAATAAGTAATTATTGAAAAAACAATACTGTCATTTAAATAAATAAATAAAATTAAAATAAAATAACACCTGGTATTAAATGTCATATGAAAAAAAAAATGAAGGTTCCAAATAAATATAATATGTCATTGGTAAATATATAAATACGTGACGTATTGATAATTAATACTGTAACATTTCCAATGAAAAATTATAGTAGCTATATAATAAATAAATTGTCGGCTACATAATACTGCGGTATGTTATTGTTAAGAGACAAGACCCTCGTTAAAAATATTTCAGTGGTAATATTATTTATTTACAATATTAATTTAGTTTGTTCTTTATTTAATGACACTGGTAATTGTTGGTGATTTTAAATCTAATGATGGATTGTGATAAATGTTGGGGCTTACCTGAATGATCATTGAGTGTTTCAGCAAAAGACCTCCTCATCGAGGTACTTGTTAGTTGCTGAATCTGAATGATGGCTAATAAGGTCCCGTGGTATAATTTCGACTGGAACGCCATCTTAAAATAATGGAGAGAGCGTCAAGCTTCAAAAGACTGAATAAAAAACAATAAAATTTTAGAAAGCTAAACATTAATTTAATTAGATTTTTAATCTGCGATGCTGCAAAGAAACTACGCGGGAAAATTATGAATAAGAAATTTGCACTTTTTAATTATTTTAAATAAAATTTTAATTATTTCATTAAAATATTTAAAATTTTAAACAGAATTTCAGATATATTCTTCTTTAAAATTATTTATTTAATTTTTTATCATTTAAAGAAATTCTATTTTAGCTACTTTCATGTTTATGGAAAATTTTAGTGATTAATTAAATAAAAAAAATATAAATTTTATTTTTTACACTTGCAAATTTATATTCTTTCTCATTTAAATTTTTTTTTTTAATCCCAAGAATTTTCATAACTGTTTTTCCTGTTATTACATATTATCAGTAATTTATTTAAATAGATTAAAATTTTGTCGAATGATGTAAAAAATAGTTGTCGAATTGATTGAAGTTTTTTTTTGAGAAAAAAAAATAAAAAAAAGTGACCAACTTTGAAAAAATAACGATTTTGCTAAAAAAAACCTATTATTTTAAAGAATTGGTCATATTTAATTTATTTGTGTATTTTTTTGAAAAGTTCATTCAAAAACAAAAATTTTTTTAAAAAATGTCTAAAAAAGTTATAGCTATTTGAAAATAAAAAAGCCACTTTTTTGGGAAATTCATAACTTTTTTTGGGTTGGATGAAAAAATTTGAAAAAATTCTTTCAAAGGGTAGAAAAGAATAGAAAAGTTTCAACTAAATCTGTATATTAAAACTGTTTCAACTAAAACTGTATTAATTAGGATTATAAATAAATAAATAATCATTAATTGAGAAATGTGAATTCAAATTTATTCAACTATCAACACTTTGTTGTTTATATTTCATCTCAGTTGTTTAATACAAAAAAATTATAAAAAAAAAGTGATTGCGATTAATGAATTTAGCGTCAAAGATCAAGTTCGCATTAGTCTTCATCGTCTGAAGCTAACGGAGGACCGCGTGAAATATGAATATGAAATTATGAATATGAAAATACAGATCCGCCGGGCGGGCTAATCATGTTGTGAACATGTTCCAACCCCGGATTCAAAACATTAGTAGGCCCACAAGGGTGGAAAGTGGTGATATTCAACTCATGTGTTATAATATCAATAGTGTACGAGTTTACAAATGACAAAGTCTGCAATGTTGAGGAAAATGTGATCACTGGAGAATCGGCTGGCTTGTGAATGGTTATATAGAAACCATCGTCGATATCCATCCATGTGGTCCAAAATTTCAAATCAACAAATTGGTTGAAATCGATAGAGAGAGGAATTATTTTATCTTGAGCTGCTGCCATGCTGTAAATTATAAAAATGACATCCAATAAAATAAAACTGGTATACACGGAAAAAAATAATCGGTAAATAATGGTATTATTATCAATTTTTTTTTTGTTTTTAAATTTTTTTATATAAATAATCATTAATAGATTTACTGCAGTAATTATCATGATAATAACTCACCTCGTACTAATGCAATTTACCCAACGAATAATGGCGTCGCTTACTCCATAGACTAGAACCGAGCTTTGGCTTTTTTTTTTTTTTCAATCTGAAAACATAAAAAAAATTTAATTAAATATGATCAACTGATAAATTTGAATTTCAAATAAAATTCATTCAATTATTATTAAGGTTGGCAATGGCCTGGTCGGCTCGGTGCTCACTTTTCGAAAGAGTGGGACCCGGGTTCGATCCCAGCACGCACCAATATTTTTCAGAATAAAATATGTGCGTAACGCTACATTGCCAACCTCTCAAAGTGGCAGAGATAGCCGGGCGGCACACGTCTGACTTTGGGCGATCACCCATTTAAGCAACAACTTAAATGAGTGACCATCACTCTACTAGTCAGCGTTGGCTAGCGCGAGGGATCTCTGCACACTAGGAGAGCGTCCTTAATGCTCCAGTGGTCGATAAAGAAGAATTGCTTATCTATCACTGTAGACTTAACCCAGCTCCGACTGTATACTAACATGGGTTTTCTCTGTGGTTTCCCCATGTTTCTGTTCCAATACCCGAGTGTGGTGAGGATCAGGGTGAATACGGTACAGAAGGCACAAGTCGGTCCACAGCCGCAATGATAAGGCAGGTTAACTAAGCAGAAACGTGAAGGCTTAGGGTGTAAAAGGGCGTTATTACGCCTGTATACTAGAAACTATATATCTATCTATCATTCAATTATTATTTTTTTTTTTTTAATTAAATTTTTTTTAGAAAAATATTTTTTTTTTTTTAAATTACCTAAATTAAATTTTTTAATAAAGAAAATTATTAATGGATTTACTGAAAATAACTCAACTTGTGCTGATGCAATCAAGACAATGAAAAATTGCGACGCTAACCGGTCACGTCTCTATTCCGTAATTAATCAGAGAAGCGGAATTTAATTCACCTGCGGGGGATTTTCAGCTGCAAGTGCTCGCAGCTCTATTATATATGTAATAACAATAACATTACATATATACCGACATATAGCCAGCCGAGTCGACATTGGCATTGCACTTGCACGGCAATTATGTTGTAACGACTTACAAGTGACTTCTTTATCTTCATACTATCGTAAGTCGGATGATGGCCGGTCATTAATCTGTTTCGCAACAAACTACCATCTGAAATATTATTTCATCAACATCAACTATTTTTTACACTCTTTTTAAATAACAATACACGAATTATAGCTTCAGAAGTATATATACTTTTTTTTTACTGCCATTTTTTTAAATTGTTTTTTTACACTCAATCTCAGTTAATTTTATTTATTAATAGTTGAATTTAAAATAAATTTATTAAAAAAAATTTTGAATTATACACGGAGAGAAATTTATAAGAATCTTTCCAACAATTATGGGAATGGATCCTATAATAAAATTATCATTATAGGCATTAATCCTATACTTATTATTTTTTTTTAATAAATATCTTTATTTTTGAATTTGTATTACATGAGTAAGTTACATGAGAATAGCTTAAAAATACTTGTTTCTATCCGTAGATTCTAACAAATGTTTGTATTATTAAAATATATTTTTGTATTTTTTAGATTATTTGGAATTGGATTTGTGGGAAAAGTTTAAAAAACCACTTGAATTTTAAAGCCATAGGCTTACTTACAAGCTAAACTTAAGACTAGCTAACAATATGTACAAAATATACAAAATTTACAAAGTTATGATGGTTTGTTTTAGTCTAAGAGTATACTATGAGGTAGTTTATACTTGAGTTTAAATGGAGCGGTGTTATTATTGTATATTCCAATATTTTTTAGTTCTTCTAGGTGTTTAGTTCTTTGTTCATAGAATATTTTAGTTTGATTAAATATATCACAATATATTTCATTAATATTAAGATTTTCTCTTATAGTTTTATTCGATATGTCCGAACTTACATTGCTTATCATTCTTAAAATTTTATTTTCAACAGTTTTAATTTTATTAATGTTAGTCTTAAATGTATTGCTCCATATTGGAGATCCATAAAGTAATACAGGTTTTATCAACATTTTATATAGAATAAGTTTATTTTTAATACTTAATTTACTTTTAGTTGAGATCAGCGGGTATAAGATACCTTTGATTTGGTTTGCTTTTTGACAAACTTTTATAATATGACTAGTAAATGTAAGTTTGTCGTCGAGCAATAATCCTAAATATTTAACGCATTTACTAGGTTCAATAATAGTATCATTTAATTTAATGATTAGTTCTTTTTCTGTTTTTTTTAATTTTACTTTTTTGCTAAAGATAATAAGTTCTGTCTTAGTATTATTTAGTTTAAGCTTCCATTTATCGAAGAAATTCGCTATATTATCTAGTCTTTCTTGCAAATGTTTAATTGCTTGCTTTTTATTCCATGAAGCGACATAAATAGCGGTATCGTCTGCAAACAGTGCTGTATTGGTTTTTTCATTTTTTGGTAGATCATTGATGTAGTACAAGAAAAGCGTAGGGCCCAGAATGGAACCTTGTGGTACTCCTGCTACAGAGGGTTGTAGATTGGAAAGTGTATTGTTGAAATTGACTCTAAAATGTCTATTTGTGAGGTAGCAGTTTATAAGTTTAATCAGATATGTAGGGAATTTTAGTGTTATCAGTTTATATATTAAGCCTTTGTGCCAGACGGTGTCAAAGGCTTTTTCCATGTCTAAGAGTGTCATTGCTGTTGATTTATTGATATTGAAGTTTGTGCTGATATAGTCTGTGATGCGTGCAAGTTGATGGACTGTACTACGTCGTTCTCGGAAACCAAATTGCTCGCCAATGAGAATTTGATTGTCATTTTCAAATGTTTTAATTCTATTAAGGATAACTACTTCGTATATTTTACTTAATGTAGGTAGTAAACTAATTGGTCTGTAATTTTGAGGGAAGAGTTTATCTTTTCCTGGTTTTTGAAAAGCAAGTACTGCGGCTGTTTTCCAACAGGAAGGAAAGTATGATACTTTAAAACAATTATTAAAAATGTATGTTAGTTGGACAAAGGCTTTTTTGGGCAAGTTTTTTAAGACTATATTCTGGATTCCATCTGGGCCTGGAGTATATATTTTTAGAAATCATTCGGTTTATATATCCTATATTCAGGATCAAACTTATAGAAATACAACAAGTTAAAACGTATGAAAGTGAAAAGCTTATTCCTTTTTAATGGTAAATAGGGAGATATTCTTAGAAAATATGCATGCCTATTAAAATCAAACTTTAAGGATAAAACAAGTAAAAGCATAAATAATATAAAAATTTAACCTGTTGCAAACTTATGCTTGATTCTCAAAAAAATTATTTACCCTTTTTTCTTAAATAATTATCAATTTTTTTTTTGTTTTCACATTTTTTTATATAAATAATTATTAATGGATTTACTGCAGTAATTATCATGATAATCACTCACCTCGTACTGACCACTTGACAATGTAATAAGTATAGCGATTTAATGATCGCGATACTAAATGTATAAAATGGGACCGTATTCCAAACCTCCGTTTGCTTGCAGGCACATCCCCTCACCGAAGACTGGTGTACAACTGAGGCTGCGGTTTATGGCTTGTCTCTTGTGGCTTGGCGACCGACACACATCATTGTAAGCAACGCTAGCAATTGTTACCAAGTCAGTTACCCGCCAAAATGAATCCTTACATGTGATTGGTTGTTAACCCCCTTCAAATATTCTCTACGCCGTAAATAATACTCTTCAATCAATCCCCTCAATCACTTCTCCGCGTAAGATGGCTGACTCGTATTCCTTTATCGTATATACACGTATGTAATTGTTTCAAGTAATTAGTTATTATTTATCGGTAGCTGCTTAAAAATTTTTTTTAATTTTTTATTTGAAAATTGCGATTTTTTATGAAAGATTGTTTAATTAGTTCTTTTCATAAGTAATCAATGATTGCGAATTATTATTTGAGTTCTCGTCGTTGTTATTTTTATATAATTCGTTCATTATCAGAACGCTGTTTTTTGTGTATTGTTTACTTATGCGTCTAATAAACGCTACACTTACGAACGACTTTGTTAAGGTATCCGTTTACTATAGGTAGAACTTTCTTCCAGGTTAATGTAAGTACCTGTCAATATTTTATTATTTACAATTTTTTTATTACTCAAATCATTATATATGTATTCTTTTGACGTTATTTTTAATATAAATATGTCGCTTAATAAATTTTCTCCGATACATATTATTAGAGGTTTTTGTTTACTATTGATACTTATTGATAATCTACCTATCGACGAAGTAATTACTTCCAACTTGTATTATTTTGATTTTCAATATTTATTATAATTTCAACAATTACGAATTGTTCTATAATATCTTGTAAAGTGTTCAATTATATTTACTAATTTTCTCATTTGTTTTTATAGTAACTGGCTGAAAAGAGTCGCGTCTAATTTTTGGAGTTCGTGTCGCAGTTAAGTTAACATAACAATTTTTATGTTACAGTTCGTGAAACCATAATACAAAAAGAGCACGAGATTGCATTCATCGTTTACTGTTATCAGTTAAGCATTTTGACATTAGTATTTTCAATTGGATAGATGCTGCAAAAAATAAGTTATATACATTTAATAATTTGTTTTTTATAGTCATATGTATTTTGTTTGATTGAGCATCATTTTGACTGCTGTAATTTTGATTCCATTTAACCATTTTTATTTTTAAGTATTGTCATTGGGCTGTTACTCAAATTGGCTTTTTATTTTATTATTATTCCTATAATTATAGTAGTTATTTTTGATTCTTACTATTATTATTATTGTATAAAAAAGCTCTCGACATCGTTCTACACAATGTGCAGGTACTTGAGTCGCTGGCGTTTATACTAAAAAATTATTTGATAACTAATTTATTAATATTAGTTGATGATTGATCTTGACCGTGTAAACGTATTTACTTTTATACGTAAATCAAACAAAGATGCTTTCATTGCTCCTCGCTACCCAAGATGAGCGTCTCCTTATTCATTGTAATAAAATACCTATTTTTTATCAGGTATTGATTTTATTTCGCTGTATGTGTAGATTTATAGATGAAAAAAATAAAACGAAATTGATAACGAATATACTTAACTCCTATTTCATTATTATATGTTATATTGTAATAATATATGTATTAAAAAGCGTGTAAAAAATAAATATTATAGCGGTATAAACTGTAACATACGTTAGATTATAATAAAAATAATTATAATAGATTTATACAAAGACTTATGAAGAATAGACATAACAAATGTACTAATTAAAATTATTATCTTTCAAAATAAAATCTATTTAAAAATTTAAATTTTTATTGACGAGTGCTAATCAATACAAATAATAATTTTAGGATTTATTTTTAGAAAATAGCCATTAATGAATGGCTTGGTGTTTGACATATAAAACAAACGAATTTTAGTCTGTTTTGATCCGGTCTAGGGGTAGATTTAGGAGATATTCCTGTCTTGTGCTTACATTCCATGCATAAGCATAAATGTCCACATGGACAGAAAACAGCTTTTGCCTCATTCATCAGACATACACAGCACTGAGTATTATTTTCAGCAGCAGGTTGATCTTGAAATATCATCCCCGCTGTTGCAGCATGAATCCAAGGGGCAATCTCTTGCTCTTCTTGCATTATGGTTTCACCAACTGTAACATAACAGTAACAATTGCATTTATATTATATATTGTTAACATTGCATTGTAAACAAAAGAATATCGATATTTTTTCTATTTATATATTCACCGTAATAGTTAACGCCATCAATCGGATTTTCATCACCCATTGGTGCTTGTATTGCCAGTAGCTGAGCAACATCGCGAATATGTTCTAACAAAACTTCTTCTTCCATTATTAAATCATCATTGAAGTCTATAAATAATTAAATAAAAAAATTAAGATTTCATCACTCATTTTATTTTGTGGATATTCGAAAATAGCAATGAATAATATTTCATAATAAAAAAACATACATCGTTGTCTCATTACGGCTACATCTAAACGATATCGAACTTCCACACGTCGAATTGCGGCCATTTTAAGAAATTCAAGTATTGAATACCTACACAAATTTTTATAAGTGAATATTTTTTTTATTTTACGGAATAATAAAGAGAATCCCTCTACTAAACAACAATAAAATTGAAAAACAAACAATAAAGAATAGTATTCAAAATATTTTGAAAAAATTTTTCGATTGTAACGCATTCTTCGACCCTTCGCCTCATTCGAGTCGTGTAAAACAAATTCATTTTAAATGGAATTAAAAGACTAAAATAGTGATAGAAGTATTAAATATAAAAAAAAAAAAAATTTATAGGAAATAAATATATATCTCTCAGTAAAGTTAATATTTGAAGTTTTACCTTCTGGTTTCTAAAGCTTGTTGGATACCTTGAATGAAAAAATCCATATGGTATTGTCTGTGTCGCCTATTCCTTCCATAATCAATCCTATTTAGCAAGAGAGTTAATTTATTTTCATTATTTTTAATAATTTCTATTAAACGATCTGAAATTTAATTGAACACAAAAGAAAGATAATTCTCAAAGAACTTGTTAACTCTTTTAAAATTATAAATAATTGTTTATATTGATGAAAAAAAATTATAAGGAAAAATCCGATTTGTAGTTAATAAAAAAAATTGATTAAAAATAGAAATCAATTTTTTTGACTTACGTAAAAAGTTGAACAAAGGAGGATGAGGGCCTAGTGTCGACACTAGGTGTGAATTACAAGCTTCAGCAATGTTATTTATTCGCCAAGGCGTATTGTGTACACGGAAATGATATCAGCGAGGGGTAGCCAAAATCGTTGCAAGTATCGACGAAACAAATAAAAATTATCGTTATTATTTTCCAAAGGTGTAAGTAATTTGATGATTTCTTGCAAAGCTTCTTCAAACCTGTCTGCTGGAACTAATGGTAAGACCCATGTTAGATTAATTAAGGATTCGTTGTTCAGGTGAACCACGACCAGGAAGTCTTAAAGAATTCCATTTCCTTGTAATGGCCTATAAAAATTTAGTTTTATTTAATATCTTGCAATAATAAATATATTCTTTTTATTTTACTAGCAATAACTTACGCGAGCAAAATGGAACCAACAGCTGAGAGTTGTTGACCAGTTGAGAGACTTCGGCAGAGCACAAAAAACGTTAGGCAAAAAAGTTAGCTACGGGCATCTTAAGGTTTATGTCGACGGCACTCAGTTCAAATATAACACTGCAACAAAAGCCATTACACCAACCTCTACTCCAGGCAATAACCGCTTCACACCTAACTCGAACACGCATCCAGTTTTTTCCCAGACGTCCTACATCTCTGCTCCAAAAAATGGCACTCCCAACCCAGGCAACCTAAGACAAAAATAACCGCCTCCAACGTTAAGCTCACCTTTTGGAATATATTCGAGGATCGAAACAGCTACTGAATCCCACTTGCCTTTTCTCGTTAAATTTTTATGGTCTCTCCGAAACGTGGATCTCCAATTCAATCCCAGCGACTGCTTTGCCAAACTCATGTCACTTTTCTTCATCGCTAGCTTCTAAGCCTACCGGACCTGGCAGACCAAGTGGAGGACTCCTATCTATCGCAATGCATACCTGAATCCTGGATAATCTCGAAGGTTAACTTTCCCAACTTGACTGCTATCGTCTCTTCTGTTTACTTATCACCTGACCTTGTTCTCTCAACTACTCTCGAGAATCTACAAGTGATCACAAGAAATATCCAAGCTTGACACAACTATGATGTATTCATTATAGCTGGAGATTTCAACTCACGCCTGGGACACCTGGGACAGCTTGATCCAAGTGCCTTACAGTCAATTTCTCTCCTGAAACACCGCTCTTCTGCTGACTCTTGTGTCAATCAAAGGGGCAAAATCCTATTGGACTTCATGGAATCAAACAATTTCGTTCTTCTGAATGGTAGATCACGTGGTGACGCATCAGGTCAATTCACTTTCTCTAACAATAATGGTCAGAGCACTGTTGACCTGATCTGGGTTGACATGCTGGGCATTCAACACGTTTTAATGACATGTGGGTAGATGATATCTGGACAACTTCGGACCATTTTCCTATAACTATCGAACTCTATTCCCAGGATTTTTCTGCTTGTGAAAACTAAAAAAAATGTCAATTTAAACTTATTTTTTATTGTCCAAATAAAAGTAATCTTCAACCCCGGTGGTCTTAATAAAAAATGAAATTATTTTTATAACAAACAAGCTTTTTATTTATCATTTCATTAGTATACATTCTATTTTTTTTATACATTCATATATCTTAATTTACGCTTGTATCAGTTAATTTTCTATTATTACCGGTCAGGAGATGTGTAAAGATGTAAACATTTACACAACTGCCTTACTCTCTCCAATACACTCTTACTTTGATACTTTTATTTTAATTATTTATTTATTTATTATTGTATAAACAACAATACATTGTATTTTTAAAATGGAGAAGAAGACATAAAGGATATGTATTTTATTTACAAAATAAAATTAAATAATAATATATAAATCAAGTGTAATAAAAATTTTCAATGAGCTACATGTGACTTAATCACTTTTCAAAAATGATTGCCATATATTTTATCTTTTTTTATAAATTCAAATTGTATATTATTATCGTAATTTTATTAATCATCAACACTTACACTTCATTCAGGGATTTTTTGTTTTTTATTTTTTTAGATAATAATATTTATTTTTAATAATTATTCATAATTATACACGAATTTAATTAGTTACATTTCTTTATGTTTAAATAAATCTTTTACTTGAATAATTTTTTTGGTACATACGAAATAAACTTGATCCGCATTTCGAATTACCTATTTTATGTACATAACTACAAACATATAATTATTACAGGGATGAGATTTATTTATTCAATACATACTATTTTTTTTGTTTGATAAAACGTATAAAATTCTAATTGAATATGCCACTTTTTGGCTCTTTTTTTTTTTTTTTTTTTTTTTTTTCTTCTCTATAATAAATTTCAATGATCACTGAGAAGTACATACAATGGTCAATAATTAGTCTAAAAATTTCATATTAGTCTTTCATTTTCATTTAATTAAATATATAAATGCGATTCTCTGCAATCATCGAAAAGTATAAAATAAAAAAAAAATCTAATTACAGTATAAAATAACTAAAGAAGAAAATAATTATACAGCTTACGTGGATCGTATTTGTTAGAGAGCTGATGACACTTTAGTTTTGTAAATAAAAAATAATAATAATCATTGAAGAAAGTAAAGAACTATAGAGTTAATATAAATGATAATAAATGATTAGATAATAAATAAAATTAAAAATAATTAGTGTCTATTTAGTTAAGTGGCTTTGAATACTATAGCCACGAGCGAGGATGCGTTGAGGGTTGAAGTGCGTAGTAGGAATGTAGGTATTGTTGATAAGCAGCTGGATCAACACTGATATTTGGGGCATGAGGGCTAACGTAAGGCGACACGGGAGGTCCATAAGCAGCAGGTCTTTGGGTAGTGTGTAAAAACGGATGAGGATAGTTTCTCGGTTGGTTGTTTAATTTGTTAGCTTGCTGCGTCGATTCATTCATTGGCGTCGTAGGCTGTGGTTGTTGTTGTTGCTGCTGTTGTTGTTGTTGTTGTTGTTGTTGTTGTTGTTGTCTTAAAATATTGTAGTAACTACTGGGGCTACGTAGATCACCCAGAAAAGCAAAAGCAGCCGCAGCAGCAGAGGAGGCTTCTTTATCGTAGAAAGATGCATTGTTGGCATCACTGACGGGTGCCGTAAAGTTGAAGGCACTTCCAGGGGGCACAGGACTATTTTTCAAGCCCACGATATCCGCCGGGTTCCCAGGATACTGCGGGAATCCTGGAATCGTTGACGAATGATTGGGTAAAGTTGTCGATTGCTGTTGAGCCGCTGCTGCTGCTGCTGCTGCTGCCGCCGCCGCAGCAGCAGCAGCTGCAGTCGCCTTCTTTCTTCCTTTTTTGGCCTTAGGAGCCGGTGCAGATACTGGAGCAGTTTCACGACGTTGCATTGAAGCTACTGTCATTCCTTTAGTACTCTGCATACTTTGAAGTAGGTTCAAGTCATACTCGGAACCAGACGTCCTGGAGTATACCAGAGAATCTTTACTGGAAGGCCTGGGTATTGACAGTAGCTGCTGCTGGTCTTTGGTACTTCTACCCACGAGACCTAGACTCAATCTTGCGTACGCTGGATTACCAGCAACAGAATCTGCTAAGCCATAAGTCCCGTCATACTGTCCAGAAACTATAGACGCTTCAGATGTCCCCAAAGATATCATTTGGTCATACCCGTACTGCTCTTGTCCTGATCTTGATTCTTGCGGAATACAATTTCTCGCAGAATCACCAGTTGGCTCGTTGTACATACGCTTTTTAACTGGCGGCAACGTTGAAGCGACACTGGTCACCGGTCCGCTTGTTTTAGAACTAGTGTCGTAGTAATGAGAACTTGAATACACTGGTCGACACGCTGGATTAGGCATCGAATAAGGTGTTGCCTGGAAACCGGCTGTTGATTGATAAATAGTTTCGTGACCAGGCAAATTTTGCTGGAATGCCAGTAGCTGTTGGTCTTGGCGCTGCTGAGTATATTTTAAAGTTTCTGTATTTTCATAAGTTCGTTCTTGAGTTTGCGGCTGCTGTTGAGGATCTTGAGGAGTGCTTATCCTTGTAGTAGATCTCTGAGAGTCTACGGCAGTCGGTGGACAAGATACTCTCTCGTTTATGGGGAAGTTATTTGAATACAGCTGACTAAATTGATTCGTTTGATGAAATACCTGATGATTGCTGTTCAATCCTAATGGTGGGTCTGACTGGAGCTTATCTTCCGATTTGTAATACTCTGATACTCGCCTGTCAGGTTCAGGTATTCCTGGAGCTGTGACACCAGAGTTCGTATAAGATAAGTGATTTGATTTGATTCCTTGCGGGTACGAAGGTGGCGCTGAGGATTGATATTCTTCGGTGGTTTTTTCAGACTGTGCGTAAATTTGCGTTGGTGCTGTTTGTCTTGGTGACTGCTGGGGATAATTTGGCTGTGACTGTCTCAGAGCCGGTTGCAAGCACGGTGACACTTGTGAAGAAGGCTGGGAGTAATTTCTCGGCGGCTGTGGTGAAGATTGAGCCGAATACGTTGTTGGTACAGGAGTAGTTGACGGTTGTTGTGGCGACAATTGCGAATAATTTGGCGACGGTTGAGAGTAATTCGGTGGAGCTTGTGGCGATGGTTGAGAGTAACTCGGAGGCGCTTGCGGAGAAGGTTGAGAATAATTTGGCGGCGTTTGTGGGGACGGTTGTGAGTAACTTGGCGGCGTCTGTGGTGATGGTTGGGAGTAATTTAAACTTTGCGGCGACGGCTGAGAGTAAGCTGGTGGCGGCTGGGGCGAATGTTGTGTATAAGACTTTGGCGGCTGCGGTGATGGTTGTGAAAAATTGTGAGACTGAGGCGATGGTTGAGAGTAATTGGCAATCGGTTGAGGTGACGTTTGTGAATAGCTCGGAGGTTGCGGAGAAACTTGAGAGTAACTTGGTGGTGGCGGCTTTGGAGACGGTACTGAGTACGAAGAATTTGATTGCTGAGAAGGTGACGGTTGTGAATAGTTTGTCGGCGGTTGAGGTGACGTTTGGTGAGAGTACGGAGAGTGCTGTTGCTGCTGTTGAGGCGACGGTTGTGAGTAACTCGGTGGAGTCGGCTGTTGGGGTGACGGTTGTGAATAATTCGCAGCAGGCGGCTGCGGTGATGGTTGAGAGTAATTTGGCGTCGGTGGCTGTTGAGGTGAATGTTGAGAATAATTCGGAGGCGTAGTTTGAGGTGAATTTTGATAAACTACTGGTACAGACTGAGGTGACGGTTGGGGATAAACCGGTGATGGCTTTGGACTGTTTGATAATTGCTGCTGATAAGCGTCGTTTTGAGGGGAATTTTGCGGATAAAAATTGAAATTTTCTGTTGGATTTTCATTACTCGCTGGTTTCTGGTAAACTTGATGAGACGCCTGAGGATACAGAGGATTCTGTTCATAAGCAGCTGAAGAAGGATATGCGGGTGACAGTGGATGGTTTTGGGGTGATGGTGTAGGAGGTAATTGTGCACTATATCTTGGCGGTGTTGTATAATAAGGACTATTGTAAGGGCTGCTGCCAGTCGATAAAGCATCTTGATAAAATCCAGCACGAACAGGCTGCTCAATTCCTGGAGTAGTGATTGCTGATTGCGTTTGTGGTGATCTTACACTCAACCCTGGCGGTGATTCTTGTGAAAAGCTAGACACTGATTCACTAACACTACTACCACCGGCGCTGTGTCTTCGCTGTCGATGCGGCAAAGCTACTTCTGGTACCTCTTCTTTTTTCGGTACAACAACCTCCTCGATTTCTTCCTCCTTTTTCTTAGATTTTGGCGCACCAAAAGCTTTGAACCAAGCGCTCAAATTCGGAGTCGCTGATTTAGGTTTCTGAGATTCTTCGGATTCTTTTGTATCATTCACTGCTTCGACTTGAGTCTTGGGAGTAACAGCTTCTTGCATTGACTCTTTGGACTTATCTTCTTTCAATGCCGCCGTGGAGCTCAGCAACGTGGGCCGGTCTTCATCATCGTCTTCATTAGACAAATTAGCAGTCGGAGAAGACACTAAAGATTTACAAATCAATTGAATTGAGTCAGCGTTCTTTAGAACTGAACCCAGACTTAATTTTGGTTCATCCGAGTTTTCACGCTTAGGCTGATTGGTGTCTGAATTAGATTGATTATTTGTAACATCAGAGCCACTGTTATTACTACCAATAGGTTTCTTTAATAAAAGATTACCCTTACTCTTACCCGGTTGCAGTCGATCAATTGTTCTTTGGATTTTTTTTGGTTTCGGTGGGCCATGAGTACCAAAAAGTTTCATCGTAGCCGGACGTTTTCGTGCGAGATCTGAGATTTTGGGACCTGAGACAGGAGCTGAAGGAACGCGCGTTGGCTCACTTGTCGAAGGTTGTAAAGTTGGAGACTCAGCTTTGGAATTGAACTCTTCAACCGGCGGAGCATCGTCCAACCATTTGTTGATGTCGTTCAAGGTCTGCGCTGTCGCTTGATTTAAAGCTTGAATCGCCGGGCTCTCAACCCTCGATCCTTTTGATTTATTCACTTTACCACTACTTTTAACATCAACCTGTTGATTTTTCTCATCTATCTTCTTATCTTTACCAGATTTTTTAACTTTTGTTCGCTTATTATTTACCTTATCACTATCGTGAAAGGTATTACCATTAGAAGGCACATTTTTCTTGTGGAATCCATCAAAAGTACTACTTTTTGAAGTCTTTTTCAGCTTCTCTCGCTCGAGTTTTAATTTTTCGTCACGTCTGCTGCGCTCACTTATCCGATCTTTTAAACTGTCCAAAGATTCAAGATCTTTGTCACTAAGCGAGGATTCAAATTTAACTGACGATACTTCAGAAGCTTCCTTTTTACGATCTTTCCCACAATCATTATTGACTTTACCATTTTTTGTTTGTTCATCATTTTTTTTCTTAGATTTTTTATCTTTAACTCGTGCAGGACTTTTATCCTCGGACTTATCATTATCTGATCGCCTAATTCGCTGATCAATTTTATCCTTATTACTATTATTATTATTACTACTACCACTATTACTATTTTTTTTCTTCTCCGTCGTTAACTGCTTACCATTTTCTTCAATATCTGAAAACCTATCGTCTTCCAACTCCTCAACTTGTTTTTTCTGTTTACTCTTTTTGATTTTATCATTGCGTTGTACAGTACTTTTTTCATTACTTTTCTTTTCTATTCGTTTACTTTTACTTTTAACATTATCCAAAGGTTCATGATACTCCTCAAAATTATCCTTTTTTTTACTCCGATTTTCTTTATGATCTTTTGAATTCTTTATCGATGCATCTTTTTGCCCTTTTTTATTACCCGTCCCGGTACTATTTTTTTTCAGTGTATCTTCCTTTACATCTTTATCTTCATCTTTGGCCGATAAACGTTTATTTTTCGGTAACAATTTGCTAACTTCATACTTTTTTCTTTTTGATTTTATCACAGTATTTTCTGATATTGCACCATCTTCATCGTCATCTTCCGTTTCCTCGCGTTCTTTCATACTCTTTGATCGTTTTTTTGCTCTTTTATCTCTCGAACTTTTTGCATCCAACACTCGTTCTTCTTCACCGGCATCATCCTCATCATAAAAATCATAATCGCACTCGTCATCGTCGTCATCATCATCATCATTACGATTTCTACTTTTCCTCGTCTTTTTATCCGTTTTATTTGATTTAGATTTTTTATTTGATTTTTTATAACGCTTCCGCGAGTTTGACAACGCCGCAGCAGCAGGCGTATTCGTGCGCAAAGGATACGCTGAGACAGACACAGGTGGAGATTTTGGAGGACACTCATCGCTTGACGGTTCAGACTCTAAAAATCGTTCAATCGCATTATTAAATGCTTCCTTTAAATTAATCGCCATTTCCGTGTATTCATTTTCAGAGCCATTGTACTGTCGACAATTTTCTACAATTAAACTAAAGTCCCGTTTAAATTGATGGATAGTTTTGTACTCTCCATTTTCCAGTTTATCCTCCATAGTCTTGAGATCCATTGGTTTACGTACGACGCTGTAGTACCTAGGTGCGTACTCTTCTTCGACAGGATCAGTAAATGGCCACGCATCATCGTGATCTTTAATACTCTCAAGTACTTTGTACATACCCACACGCCTTTCTTCCTCTTCAATTCCAAACGTGTAAGGATAACCGGGGGCAACATAACTACTTACTCCATGTCTACCTACACCTTTTTTATTAGCTACCTTGTCAACTTCATCGCCTGTTTGAATTATAATCTGTCCGACAGCAGAAGCCAGTGAATTATTTGTCTGACGTCCTTTCTTCTGTGGTGGCGGTGGCGCTACTAATGGCGGTGGAGCTTCATCTTCACTGTCACCAGCCTTAGAACTCTGTCCACTCTTCTTCGTACTCTTCCCAACTTTATTTTTGACTTTAGCACGTACCATTATTGGTTTTTCTAATTGTTTAACTGGCTCTGGACTGTGAAGTACACGTGAGTTACTGCGTTCAAGTAGACGACGTCTCTGCTGTTTCTCCTTGAGCTCAAAAAGCTTTGGTATCTCGGGTAAAAAATCCTCAGCTAGTGTATGATAGAGCTTGCGTTCAGTGTCGTATTCCTATAGAAATTATATGACTTTGTTAATAAAATAATTTCCCGGTCGTTTTACAAATAAACAACAATAAGAACAAGAACAACACATAGACATTGTAACAAAACCGGTAAATGTTAAAATTTGATGGACTTTCTCACCGAGTTGCGAAATTTGTCCACGAGTCTCGTCCAATCCTGTTGAGTGAAGCAGATAACTTGCCAGACAGTATCTCGTGCTTTAACACCGATATTTATACTTAAATAATCATCAACTTCCTTCTCCTCTTCTTCTTCTTCTTCCACCAGCTTCTCCTCCTGCGATCTGCACTGTCGTCGTTTACGTTTACGATCACGCGGTCGACCCCTTTGACGCTGTGCAATAGTACCACCGACTTCTGTACTTTCAATATAGTCTTCTCTGTATAGTCGGGTCCCGTAGAAATACCAATAAGCGGAATTCTTACGATCATGTCCCAATGGTTCGACTCTCAGACTGTCAGAGTCTAAGTTACTCAGCGCACACTCCTTAAATAATTATTAAATTATACAATTTAATAATCATTAATATCATAAGATAATTGATTATTTAATTCGATCACCTACCACGTCCTCGGCGTCAAGCCTAAAGTCGCAGAGGGCGCGTAATATTTCAACTTTTTGTCGCAATGGTAAAAGTTCAAAATCTACATCTGTGTTAAATGGATTTTCGCAGTTGTATTCCTTAAGAAAAAATAAAATAAAACAAATTTCAGTATAAATAATTATATTATTAATCTTAATTAATAAAATAAGTTTATTTACCTGGCATTTCTTGCGAAAAAGCCGACGTAAAAACATCTGATAATTAAATGTTGAGATATCATTGCGAGTATCGTTGGGCAAGCAGCCCTCAAGTAGTCGAACGATTAATTCTTGCACTAGACGCCCTTCAGCACCTCCGTCTGTTAACAGAGCTTCCTCTAGATCCTGAAATGAATGATAAATATTTAGGTTGTAAGTATTACTTAGCAGTTATTATACTTAAAGGTACTGATTAATCAGCGATACAGCGTAAGTTGATTCTTATAAGCCGGAGTTAATATGTTTTTTAATAAGCAAGGGTTGGAGACTGCTCTAGTGGGTGTATGCATAAATATTTTTTTCACTTTTTATTTTGCTACTGGAGCGAGTTAGCATTGGATTAGATACCTCGATATCAAAGTCCAGGAGATTGAAGGCAGCCCTAAATAATGAGCAGAAGTGTGCTATACTCGGGACCTCCCACCACGATTGTATGTCTAGAAGAATTCAAGTTGGACCATTGATAATAAATATTACATCCCTCCCTTCTAATGACATCAATTAAATTAAGTACAAAAATATATATATATCTTTTCAATGATAAATAATAAAATTTTTCTTAATAAAAATAAATATATGAGTTATCACATTACATACGTAACCAAACCAGTTAATTTCTTTAGTACTTATGTATTTATATCGTAAAAGAAAATAATATTTAATAATAATAATAATAATAATAATGATAAAAACAAAAGACTATAAAGCTGAAATAATGATACAATAATGATAATAATTGTAACAATTAAATAACAATTATAATTATAATAGAAATAAATAAATAAATAAAGTTGTTGAGTAATTACCTAGTATTCCAATGAAAGTGGGAAACATAACCACCCGTCCTATGGCGGGCAACTAGATTAGCACTTTTTTAAAATTCCTTTTTTTATTCCGCAATACTTTCTACAGAAAACTCTCCTCAAGCAGAAAGTCTCAGCTTCAATAAATAAACTTTATCGGTTGGTATTATAATACAATACAATGCAAATAATGACTAATTAAAAATGATAATTATCCTCCAATTTATTGCAAATTTCCAAGACGATTGATTGCCAATTGAGGATGTTAGATACCCAGCTGCTATGATGCCTCGACATCGCCTTGGACACCAGGTGTGTCTCCAACCTCATTCACTAGCTCTAAGCTCAAGAGGGAACTTCAGGCAACTTAATAACGCAATCCAGTGATCACATCAGCACTTACAAGCAAAAAAAACAAATTGATGTAATATTGTGTCGTATATTATTATCGTACTTTTGAGATTTTTTTATTTTAATATATTCTTGCTCACTTACTGGCGCGACCAAAACTTTTTCGTCACAATGGTGGGTTTGTGTATACAGGATGCGCGCGTCTATACAAGTCTATACCAGTCGAATAAAGACTCACACGAGTCAAAACAATCACCACCAGGCATAATAAGTCCACTCAATCAAAAATTACCTTCGCTTTAATCATTTACAACAAACTAAAAATACAAAATAATATACGTAGTTAGTTTATAATTTTTTTAATTATTATCTTGCTGATAATAAAACTATACCCACACAGATACTTTTACAAGTACTCAGTACTTTATACTCGGTTTTGATCGATGCTACTGTACTGCTTCACTTCACTTGTACAATTACGGTGTACACTAGTAGCGGCTAGTGGACTAGGTACTAATTTTCTTTACTTTTTTTCACCTAGGATAGATGTGTCGTAGGTGACAATTACTAAGCAATTAAATTCATTCATTACAAATAACAGATAATATTGTAATTATTGATACCGCCATATAAGAAATCTAGCGGGAACTTTCATATCCTCTTTGTCAAGTGTCTTGTCGACAAATTTAAGTAATCTATAGCTTACTTTGCTTCACACTTATACGCGCACGTTTTTATATACATGTATACGTATTTATATATATATATATGTATGCGTAGCATATAATTATAGATGCATGTACGCAAAAACTCTTGGCACTTTTGATTGGTTAGCACACACTTGAGCACACTAGTATCTGAATACTGATGCTGAAAAGGTGCTGTGCTGGACTGACTGCTCTGTACTCGTGTACGCTGTGTGATATCAGACACGACAGTACGACAATCGTTGCTCTGTGAATAATACACTGACTGTAGAGTAGGGTGCGGATTTTAAATTTTCATAACGCGCGTTCTATCGGCGCAGTGATAAATCTCCTTGAAGTTTTGTAATTTACCACTGCTGACATCTGGGATTTCTTGTCACACTTTCGGGTTGGTGAAAATAATAAAAAAATAGTCAGTGTTGTGGTGGCGTACTGTTGATTTCAATTACTGTATTATTTATTATTATGAATTAGGATGTATAATTGTAAATAATTAAAAATAAATTTTACAATAAAATTTAGACATAAAAAATATAATTTTTTGACACAACTCATAATTAACAAAGTGTTGTTAATTATCACTATTTTAAGCTAGAGGTTAGTTTTTAATTCACATTGTTTATGTTTGAATTTTTAATTAATTTTTATTTATGTTTTTGATGACAGATTGATATTTTTATAAAATAAAATTGTATATTAAAAATGACGACGAAAAATAATGGACGGGCTGCTGGAGACGGTTTGGAAAATCTAGGTGTACCTGGGCAAGTTTTCCTCAGAGATTCACTAACCAGTTGTACAGATCCGCTTAGTGCTATCGAGCAATTCCAGATTGATAATGGAATTCTATTGGCGTCTTTGAGACCTATGTTACCACTGCTGGACCTTCACGGAGTTCGAAGGCTGGACTTTCACGCATCGGTCCTCGAGGAGTTGAGAGAAAAGCTGGTGAAGCGGATAAATGAAATCGGAACCGAGCGAGAGAAGAGTGGAAGTTCGGGAGACAAAAGACTTAAGGATTTACTATCGAAGAGTTTTCCAGCGATTCGAGTTCCGGCTCTGAGGCCTGTGGTGATGAGTATTCTCAGAAATACGCCGCATATTGACGATAAGTATCTACGGGTATTAGTGAGAGAAAAAGAGTTGTACAATAGTGCTGAGACTGAAGTAAAAAGACAGATTTGGAAGGATAATCAGAGCCTCTTTGGTGATGAAGTATCACCCTTGTTCAGTAAATATATTATTGAAAAAGAGCAAGTGCTCTTTGATCACGGAAATTTAAATTCGTTGTTTTTTTCACCTTCGCCTAAAGTAAGGCGGCAGGGTGAAGTCGTCCAGAAGTTAGCACACATGATTGGTACAAGTGTGAAACTTTATGATATGGTTCTGCAGTTTTTGAGGACATTATTTTTGAGAACTAAAAATATTCATTATTGTACACTGCGTGCTGAGCTACTGATGGCTCTTCATGATTTAGAAGTCCAAGAAATTATTTCTGTTGATCCTTGTCATAAATTTACTTGGTGTCTAGATGCATGTATCAGGGAAAAAAACGTTGACATCAAACGATCTCGTGAACTTCAAGGTTTTTTGGACAGTATAAAGGTAATTATTATTTAAGTTCTTGTCTATATTTAAAATATTTAAATAACTTAATCTTGGGAATTTAGACAATAAATGACGTTGCAATCCATAAAACTAAAGTTAGCCGACGTTTGTAATTTTTTTATTTAATAAATTTTAACAAAAAAATATTTATTAAAAATTGCACTTAAAATTTTACAATTTTTTTACAAGTGAGTTTTGGTTTTTTTAAATTTTTTTGTATAAAAATTTTCGATAAAAATAATTGTAAAAATTTTTAAATGTCGGTTAACTTAATTTTCATTTGCAATCCTTATAATTCAAGATCTTCATTTTTTTGTCCAAATTCCCAAGATTAAGTTATTTGAGTAATTAATCATCTTCATTAAGATTTACTTAATTAATAAAACAGTCAGTTGATAAATAATTAAATTTATTACAGAGAGGTCAGGAACAAGTTCTTGGTGATCTGAGTATGACTTTATGTGACCCTTACGCAGTAAACTTCCTTGCGAGTAGCGCAATCAAAATAGCTCTTCATTTAATAAACGGAGAATCTCTACCACGAGACAACGCAGTATTGGTTCTGCTTCTCAGAATGTTGGCACTTGGATTATCAGCTTGGCAAATGATCGACTCTCAAGACTTCAAAGAACCCAAACTAGACAGCCAAGTAGTCACGAAATTTTTACCCGCTTTGATGTCGCTGATGGTTGACGATCAAATTAGACAATTGAACTGTAAATTACCACCAGATGAACGAGAGAGTGCGATAGCGATTATAGAACACTCGGGACCGCCTCCAGATGCGTGTCAAGCTTACGCTCAACTGTCTGGAGTGGCTGCCGTTCTGTCTATGTACTATACACTTCATGTCGGAGGAGCGACCGGAGGATTTGGAGCAGCCTCTTCTGGCGGAGCTGGAGGCATTGGTGGAGTCGGTACCGGTGCTGGTAAATCCAGGAGCGATTCTCGAGGGCTCATGAGAGTTTTATCAATTCTTCCAAACTGCCAAGGACACCGTGCCTTTGAAGATCCTTTCCTTCATACACTTGTTTCTCTGCTAATTCTGAATATGGCTGATGAGTTTTCCAACGAGTCGTTTTGTACTGTAATTTTTGATGAATTTTTCCTCGCTGGATTAGGGAGGGACAATGTTACGAGGCATTTACTTAAATTACTTTGGTATATTTACCCAAAACTTCCTACTGCTAGATTGCATTCTTTGATGAAAGGTCTCCAACCCACTAATCAGGTAATTAATTATTTTCTTTTTAGTAGATTTCATAAAAATCTAACTATTGCATTGATTCTCATGACAGAACTTTTGAAAAATTTTGCTATGATATGATTCAAAAGTTTATACAATCGAAGACATTAATTTAAGCATGTTTTCAAGTTTACTGAAAAATAGCCATTTGTAAACTAGAACGTTTATAAACTATAAATTTGAAAATTAGTTGATAATGTCATTTGTAAAATTAGTCACAAATAAAAAATGATGTTAATGAAATTAGCGAAATGGAAATTTCACCAAATATAAATTCAGTCAGTTATAAAATAGCAAAAAACCAAAATTTGTGGCTACGTGAATTTAGCCAATTCTTACTGCAGAAACTTATAAAACTAGCCGATTGTAAACTTTGTGAATTGTAAAATTAGCCATTTCTAAATCTCTCGTAGATCTTGAACGGATGACGGATCAAAAAATGATTTGAAGAATCTAAAAGTACTTCCATAAACTTAGTTTTTCTGAAAATTAGAGCAGATTCGATCGACCCATTCAAAAGTTATAAGAAGATTAAAAGTGGCTAATTTTACAATCCGTAAAGTTTACAATCGGCTAAATTTATAAGTTTCTGCAGTAAGAATTGGCTCAATTTACGTAGCCATAGATTTTCGACCGGAGGATTTGGAGCAGCCTCTTCTGGCGGAGCTGGAGGCATTGGTGGAGTCGGTACCGGTGCTGGTAAATCCAGGAGCGATTCTCGAGGGCTCATGAGAGTTTTATCAATTCTTCCAAACTGCCAAGGACACCGTGCCTTTGAAGATCCTTTCCTTCATACACTTGTTTCTCTGCTAATTCTGAATATGGCTGATGAGTTTTCCAACGAGTCGTTTTGTACTGTAATTTTTGATGAATTTTTCCTCGCTGGATTAGGGAGGGACAATGTTACGAGGCATTTACTTAAATTACTTTGGTATATTTACCCAAAACTTCCTACTGCTAGATTGCATTCTTTGATGAAAGGTCTCCAACCCACTAATCAGGTAATTAATTATTTTCTTTTTAGTAGATTTCATAAAAATCTAACTATTGCATTGATTCTCATGACAGAACTTTTGAAAAATTTTGCTATGATATGATTCAAAAGTTTATACAATCGAAGACATTAATTTAAGCATGTTTTCAAGTTTACTGAAAAATAGCCATTTGTAAACTAGAACGTTTATAAACTATAAATTTGAAAATTAGTTGATAATGTCATTTGTAAAATTAGTCACAAATAAAAAATGATGTTAATGAAATTAGCGAAATGGAAATTTCACCAAATATAAATTCAGTCAGTTATAAAATAGCAAAAAACCAAAATTTGTGGCTACGTGAATTTAGCCAATTCTTACTGCAGAAACTTATAAAACTAGCCGATTGTAAACTTTGTGAATTGTAAAATTAGCCATTTCTAAATCTCTCGTAGATCTTGAACGGATGACGGATCAAAAAATGATTTGAAGAATCTAAAAGTACTTCCATAAACTTAGTTTTTCTGAAAATTAGAGCAGATTCGATCGACCCATTCAAAAGTTATAAGAAGATTAAAAGTGGCTAATTTTACAATCCGTAAAGTTTACAATCGGCTAAATTTATAAGTTTCTGCAGTAAGAATTGGCTCAATTTACGTAGCCATAGATTTTTGGTTTTCACTATTTTATGAATGACTGAATTTATATTTGGTGAAATTTCCATTTCGCTAATTTCATTAACATCATTTTTTAATTGCGACTAATTTTACAAATGACATTATCAACTAATTTTCAAATTTAGAGTTAATAAACGTTCTACTTTACAAACGGCTATTTTCTAGTAATATTAAAAACATACTTAAATTAATGACCACGACTGTATATATTATACATATATATATATATATATATATATTTATTTTTTTTTTTTTACTTATACAATCCCAGTAGTTTTTTTTTATTCATTATGAAATCTACTTCCATTTCAGCTGCCGAATGGCCTTTTTTGACTCTAATTGTAAATAAATTAATTACACAAATAAACCTGTGATTTATTTCTAGCACAATGAAGCTGTACATACTTTGTTTGAAGCTCTCAGAGAAAAAATTGGTAGTCGAACGATGGAAGAAGCTACATTGGGACAAGATACCATGGGAATGGATTGTTCAGCATCACCTCTAGGAGTATCAGTGCCTACATAAATCTTTATGTCTAAATTACTCGATTTATTGTAAATTTAGTATGTAAAGAAAATTTTTTTAATAAAAAATATATTATTTAAACAAGTTACTATCGCAATCTGAGTTAACCTGTTTCGGATATTTTATTTTTTTTTTTTACAAGCTTAAATAATTTAAGTTGATTTATATTTGGATCCAATATTATAAATCATTCCAAATTATAAGTGGTAATTACCTATTACTTGCATAAGTATTAATTGTCAGCTTTTAGAAGGTAAAAACATGAAGGTAAAATAATATAGTTAAAATATATTTGTATAATACTTGGAAATAATATTAGTTTTATTCAAGAGACGCAAAACACATGAAAAAAATCAGTCACGATCATCAACAAGTTCATCGAAAACTCAGAAAGAATCTTCGCCATTAAAAAGCAAGAGTCTTCAAGTAGTAAAAGGGCGTAATGCTAAAAAAAATTTACCAAAAAATAAATATGAAACGCTAGAAGAAGGTCCGTTAAATTACAGAGAATTTTTGGAATCATTGGAATCACTTTTTGATGTTAAAAAGCCATTAAAGTCGCTGGAAAGTTTATATAAGACTTATTTGGGTGCAGAAGATTCATCTTCAGAGACTACTATTAGCGAATGCAGTTCTGAGTATTTTAACCAAAATTTCTTCCCACATTTTAGGCCCATAAAAGATCAACTTAACATACAGGTAATTTAAAAAAATTTATTATTAGTATTTTGCATTTTATTAGTTTGTTTAAAATGGGTTAAAAATTGTTTAGAACTTTCAAGTGACGACACAGTACGATTTTAATCAGTTCGATGATTCTTCTTTGAATTCTGTTGAAGAAAATAATTTAGCAATGGCAGAAGAAGTTAATAGACAACCAGAAACAACTTTTAATATAGAGGATGAAACTCTACCGAATTTGTCTTCAGAAATTATGAACGAACACTTAGATACGACAGAAGATCTGCAACAAGATAGTGAAATCTTGGATGATCAATTTGATGCGTCGGAAAAACTACAGAGTACTAAAATATTAGATGATGAATTTGATACTACGAAAGAAATTCAAGATGAAGGCAAAGTAAATCAGAGTAAAGAAGGACTCAGTGTTAAAGAACCAAGTATTAAAGATGGAAAATCTAAAGATGCTTTGCAGTCTGGGATAACATCATTTTCTTCTTCTGAACCAAGTCGGATAGTATCCAATTATACTAAAAAAGGAAGTTTAAAATCTGTTGTAGATGATACCAAAGAAGAAATAAATAATAAAGATGGAAATATTAAACAGGAAAATTCCAAAATCAGTTCGCGCTCTGCAATAACTTCATTTTCTTCTTTTCAAATGACCGAAAGAGGATCTAATGATACAAGTACAAGTAGTTTTAATTTTGTTTATCATGTTAATCCGTCGAAAGAAGAAATAAAACCTCTTGTAGACGTAAGGTACGCTGAAGGTCAGTCGAAAAAAAAAAGATACATGTAACTTCATAAAAAATTGTAGTATTCTTTAATAATTATTATATTTATAGATAATTCAATGGGAATGATGGACAGTAAAATGATCAAAGAAATAGGTGAAGCTTATGAGCAATTAGCATCTTTGCAAGCGGAAATTGATCAGCTTCGAGAAGAACTCGAACAATTACAATGTGTTGGTTATTGAATTAATTTATTTAATTGAAGAATTAATATCTTAAAGCTAAGTAATTTGTTTCAATGCAGAAAGAAGATTTGACGGATAAAGAGAAGTATATTTTAGAGAAAAAAAGTCGGGATGTTATAAAAAAAACGGCAGAACTTGATGCTTTGACTAAAAAAATTCAAAAAGTTCTGGAAGTCACAGATCCTGCGTCTATTGATGGTTACGTTCAGGCCCTGGGACTAATTCCTCAATTTGAAGACATCAAGGTTCTTATATCGGCGAAATAAGTTGTATGGGTATTAATATTATTTTATTTTTGATAGGAGGATGAACAGATTAAAGTTCAATTACGGAAAAACTGGGAAGCTACTTCTCAAGATGAATGTTTCGATTTACCTCAGCAGGAATATCCTGAAGACAAGTAAATACAATCTTACATTGATTATTATTCAGTAATACAGTAGATTATTTTTTATAGATTGCCGAGGATAATTGTTTGTGGCAACACTGAAGAAAGAATCCCCAGAATTATTGTAGCTGACAGTAAAAAAAAATTCAACAAAACCAATGTAGAATATTTGGAAAAAATAGCGGTAAAATTTTCAGATGCTCTCAATGTCCAAGAAAAACTTGCTCGTGAAAATGCTCAACTGGAAGGTGGCAAGTAAGTTAATTATAAATTATAAAAAAATTGAAAACAAACAGTTGACAGTTGATGGTCATACTTTAGATAAATTTTAAGTGTCAATGTGTTCAGTTTTTATTTAAATATTTGTTTATTTATTTTTTAAATTTATTGCCTAAAATTTGATTTAAAAATTTTCTTAGATTTAAATTAGAGCAGGCCTTGATAGAAAAGGACGACGTCGTTGAAGATCTTCAGCGAACAGTATGTAACCTTCAGGCGGAAATGCGTATGGTTATGAAAAAAAATACGGAATTGAGTTATCAAGTCGCGACGTTGAATGAACAAGTTGTAAACTACAGTTGTCCTGGGTCGTTTCAAAACTCTCCACGGTCAGCTAATTATCAGACTAGTCCGCGTTACAATAATTCTAATTACTGTCCAAGCAATACGGAACGTAAGTATTTAATTGAATTGTCTAGATAAAAAGTTGAATCACTTGATGGATTATTTATCAGGTTCACGATTGGGCGGCGGTGGATCCGGGCATGATATTTGCAGTCAAATTGGATGCTGTCGTCCAGGAATGTCCCCAGTTTCAATGACTGAACTTAGATTTAAACGTGGTGATTGTCCTGCGGAATTAGGAAACAAGTTGTTTGATTGCGAAACTAATACACAGCAACTGGTCTTGCATTTATTTTCTAGCAATAAAAAAAAAAAAATCATTTTTCTTCATGATATTGAAATTAGCAGACGCTTGATAATTTATATATATATATATATATATATATATATATATATATATATAATATACATTTTTTTTTAAGAGGGATAGCCACTATGAGGATCGAAAAAATAGGTGATTTTCGGAAATTTTTTTGACTGGGATAATAAAGGAATTTGGGGATCGGGTTTTTTTGTTTTATAAAGTATACATTGAAGATGATTTTCCTAACTTTTGATTAAAAAATATCATGTTGTTACAAAATTATAAGCATTTTTGTGGAGCACCAAAAAAATTTCCCCTACCACGGTGGGATCTCTAACTCAAAAATGGATTATGTAAAACAAAAAAAACCAAACTGCGTTGTAATTTGCATGTGGTTATCGTTCCACGTAGTGGATTTTGAAAATTTAGATTTAAAAAAAAATAGCGATAATGTCTGAAATTTTTGCTGAAATTTCAAAATTTAACCAAACAAAACTCCTGTTAAAAAATTCTATGAAAATCAAATAAATTCCTTACGCTCAAAATATCTCAGGAAATGCCCAAATACAACTCTTGTTAAAAGGGGAACTCAAAATTCCAATTTTAAGAGGTCCATCACTGAAATTGAATTTTGGCACACCCTAAGCAACATATTGAAAATTTTTTCGTTTTTTTTCTTATTTTTTTGGATTCAAACAGCCCAAAAAAATCTTAAAAATCAAAATTTTCAAAATCCCCTACGTGCAATTATAGCTACTGAATAGGAAAATACGGAAAAAAAAGTTGCAAATCGGTTCATATTTATGCAAATTACAGATCCCACCAGTTCAAAAAAAAGTAGTTTCAAAAAGGCAATGGTCATTTGACACGCTGTCACAAAAATGACTAGAATTCGAAAAATATTTGGAATTTTCATATAAAACTCTAGATATATATTTTTGAAAGAATAAACTTTGATTTAATAAAGAAAAAAATTTTTTTTTTTTTGAAATTTCACAGTGGCTATCCCCCTTAAATAAACTAGGTATAAAAAATTAATTTTAAAAAGTCGCATTTATCATTTTTTCGAGTTTCTAAAAATAGAATTTTTTAAATAAATTTTTCTTGCTATAATTTACTTGTTAAAAAAATTCTAAAAATGATCAAATGTTTCAATATCATTAAAAGAAAGAAAAAAAAAAACGTGTTAATTGAATTATTGAAATTGTTTCAGGAAGAACAATTAGGCAGTATAGAGCAAAATGTTCAAACAATAAAAAAGGAATTAGCAACTGTGACACGTGAAAAAATTCAATTAGAACAGCAAAGAAAATTACTAAGGTGTACAGCACCTTGTGCGCCTTGTCCTTGTCCTAACCAAGGTGATGTTCGTGGTTCACCATCAGATCGTGGAGTTCTGAAACCTTTACCTGAAGAAATTCCGTTCCCTAAAATGGTTTGTTATTTAAATTAATTTTTAGTTTAATTATTTTATTAAATTTTTATTTATAGCTTCAGGCGACTGGTATTCCTTCCTGCACTGGAGCATGTACGCACGCTCCAATGGGCGGTAGTAATTGTCCGTTGCAGCAGTTGCGAGATCTACGAGAGCAGTATGCAAGACTAAAAGAAGACTATAACAATAAATTACGTGAAGTTTCTTATTTGAGAACTGATGCCGAAAAAATGAAGCAGGAGACACGTGATGCCAAAGATGAGAAAGAAAAGGTTGAGAATCAGCTGATAGATTTGCAAGAGCGATTAAAGTGTTTTGAATCGGATAGAAATAGATATGTTGGTAGCAAAGAACAGATGGTAGAACAGGAACAGACCGTGATTGTTGCTCGGCAGCGATACAGAGAAGCACAAGAAGAACTTGAAGAATTGAGATCTATGATTCAGGATCAAGCCAATCAGTTAGATGATTATCGAAATAAGTATTTACATGCTCAAGAACAGGTTGAAGATCAGAGAAGGCAGTTAGAGTTGATGGAGATGGACAATGCTCGGATGAATGAAAATGTTACACTTGAATTGGGAAGAGTTAAGGTATTTTAATCATTTTTTTAGTCTGATTGGAAGCGATTGAGGTTGATATCAATTTTTTTTTGGCAAGTAGAATCAATTTCAAGAAAAATTGGCTGAATTGGCTCCACTTCCTGACATTCTTAAGCAAACGCAATTGAAACTTCAAGAATGTCAACAAATGCGTTTATTAGCGGAGAGAAATTGTGAAGAATTATCGCGTGAATTAATGCATTGTAAAGACAAAATTGGAGCTATCACCAGCCAGTCAGAGATGTTAAGAAGTGAAAATGTTCTTCTTAAGGTATTTTAAATTTTTAAATTTATTAGTATTTAAATAAAAGGACATTCGGCATCCGCTAAGATGGAAGGTACATTTCATATAATCCATGATTTTAATAACAATATTATAAATAATTAGAACTGACTTAGCTTCTCACATTTTTGTTGTAATTATTAAAAAGTAAATTTATTATTGGTTAAATTAAAGAGAAGTTTATAAGCTTTAGGATGGGATGCAGAAATAAAACGATCTATAATTTCTTTATGAAAAGTTAGGTGACCGTCTTTTATTTATCAGGCAATAATTACCTACGACAAAATTTCTCATCAATAATTTCTTATGCAATATTTTATCCTAGCAATTTCTCATGGCAAAAATATCTTATCAAATAAGTATATTTTCTCATAACCAAAACTTCTCATTGCTCATAATTTAGATTATTAATTATATTATTTTTTTTTTTATATTACTTATATTATTATTGTGTTTTATTTGCATAACTTTACAGTTTTATACAAGTTTCTTTTTCTTATGATATATAAATAAAAAGGTAATAATTATTAAATAAATAAATATTAAATATTTCAAGGATTTTTTAACTATTTTAGATATTTAAAATTTCAAAATATTATTAGTTGATAACACTTAATTTATCCTTTTCTCATTTTATTGCCAATCTTTTCTTCTCTTGTCCCTTCTGCATTCTTCATTCTGTTCTCAGTTCCACCTCTGCAGTCTCTTCTTCGACTTCTGCCTTTCTTTTTATTAATTTTTCTACTCTCCGAAATATTTCACACAGGTTCATATCTATTTCACCTTTTAGAATTGAACATATTTTCCTTTCAATCTCTTCTTCATCTACCAATTTATCCCACTTTTCCAAATACTTTCTTTCTTCCTCGTTCACTCCTTTCTTTAACTCTTTGCATTTTGTTAGATGTGCTAGTGTTTTCAGACTTTCTTTACATAATCTACACTCCCACTCTGTATATCTTTTCTTGTAAGCTCTTCCAATGTTTCCGCATCTTATTTTTGCCCATTATTCTTTGTCTTTACCTCTTTTATTGTCATCCTTCCAATAATTGTATTCATCTTATATTACTTATATAAAAAGTATATATATAAAAGTAAATATATGTACTTATTTATTATACCAATGTCATTTTTAAGCCTTACTCGACTAAATAATTAATATAGTAACGAAATTCTACGTGAATTTTGACACAAGGGCAAACAATAGATAAATTTTTATGAAATCTACTTAAAAACTTTATTAATATTAAAAAAAAATTCTTTTTAGGGATCAGATCAACAAGAAGATTTGGAAAATAGAAACCGTGAATTGAAAAATGAAAATGAACGATTAAAGAATGCTTGTGCGAGATCTGAAGAACGCGAGAATGAGTACAAGCAGAGAATTGAAGAAAAATTGCACGAAATTGCTCAGCTGTCATCTATGTTAGAGCAAGTTAGAGAAGACTCGGCCAGGCAAGTCGCAAGAACGAAGGAAAGATGTGAAACTATGCGTCGATCTATGCAAGCACAAATAGGTGATTTGGAAAAACAACTGGCGCAATGCAGGGCAACGACCAAAGCTGCTCAAAGAGACAAAGATGAGGTTTGATGAATAGTAAAGATTGAATTGAAAAAATTTTGTTTGATTAAAATAATTAAATTCGTTTACAGATACGACAGAAGATGCAGGGTCAAATAAATCATTTGAGTGAAGCTTTCGAACAAGCACAATGCCGAATTCGAACTCTTCAAGGTCAAGTCAGTTATTTGAACACTTCTTACAGCAATGTTTTCAATGTTGGAGCTCGTGTTGATACTCCTGGTCCTTCAATACCAGTTGAGAACAGTCAAAATCTCTATGATACTTGCAATTGTAATTACTGATCTATTCTATCTATAAGAATAAAATGAAATATATTAGGGTGGTCCAAAAAAAAATATTTCTTACTTATCATCTTATATTAGTTTTATCTAACTAAAAATAATTCTCCCAAAAGAGCAGCTCGATATGTTAATTCTACGAGACACTACGTTAGTGGTGTAATGGTAAAAATAAGGATTATTGAGCAATAAACATAAAGATTATTATTATTAAATTTTTATTTTTTTTTTTTTACTCAAAATTACATAATGTCAGTTCAATAGAAGTCAAATTTTATGATACTGAATTTAACAGACATATTTTAGATTGTTATAACAATTTAATTGTAAACAAAAAAATTTCACATGTAGAAATTTTAAAAAATTCTAAGGACCAGTTTTTCAATCCAGGATTAGATTTTATCCAATGATAAAATATATCTATATATTTCATATATATAAATACCTATACTGGCAATAATAATTTTATCCTGGATAAAATTTTATCTCGGATTGAAAAACTGGACCTTAGTGTGAATTTTTAAAAATATTCCTTTTATAATAATTGATTTGTTATAAAAATTCTAATAATTTGTCAGGTGTTTGCTATTTTCAGTATCATCAAACTTTTTACAAAAAAGTAATAATTATCGATAAAAAATTTACTTCCCAAAACTATAAATAATAAAAAATATGTACAAAATTTTAAAAATTATTTTTAAGAGAAATATTCAATCAATATCTATATCTTCTTCTTTTATCTGGCTTGTCTTCGCGGTATCTTGATTCCCGGTTTACTGGAAAAGAATATTGGAATGACTTTTTACGTTCTGTCTGTCATGCTCGTCTTCTAGCAGAATTTAAAAATGCTCTTTTTTTCAATCAACCATTTGAATCACTATGGATTAATTATTAAGGCTGCTGATGCTAAATTACACTTATACCATAAGTTTATATTTGAGCCAGAAGATATTTTTTATGCAAACATGATTATAGTTGAATTTCGTCTGGATAAAGAGTACCTAAAGACACAATTAATTGAATATACAAAGTATAATGCTCTGAAGAAAACTCTTTGGAAGAAAAATAAGAGAATGGTTAGTTGTGTAGAAATATTGGGTACTATTTTCTACGTTTTGACTGAACATTATTGTAATCCAACAAGTTCAGTCGCCGTCAACAATTGATATTAAAAGAACAGGCAAGTATAAATTGTATGTAATTGAAATTTATAATATCAAGTATTTACAACTTTCTAAGAATGAAATCTTAAAACTATTGTTAATATTAACTTTAAATATGATAGAAAAATTTTAATGTTACTCATACTGCTAAAAATGTAAATAATTAGAATTTTGTTGAAAATTAAGTTAGCCGACATCTAAAAATTTTTAGAATTTTTAACTTTCCACTAAGAAAATCGAAGATTTTTTTTTATTAAAAAAATCATAACAAAAAAATATTCATTTGTAAAAAAACTCGAAAAATTATAATTGCAATTAAAAAAAAAATATTTTTGGTTTTAATTTAATAAATGAAAAATAATCAGAAAATTGTTGAATGTCGGCTAATTTTAGTACCATGAATTTTGTTGCATCTTTCTGGTATAATTGTTTTCACTAAATTCATTTCAAATGTAAACAATAATTCAAAAAATTGTTTCAAAGAAAATCCAAAGAATAACAAACAATTTATATGATTAATTATTTAATATTTAATATTTGAAATATATTTTTTTCCACATGATTTGGTCGATGATACAGAAGTTAGCCGACATTTCTAATTTTTTGATTTTTTAATCTTTTAATTAGTACTACAAAAAATTTTTTAAAAATTGCACGGGTAGTTTTTGAATTATTTTACAGATGAAATTTGTATTTCTTATTTTTTGGTAATAATGTTTTTAATAAAAAAATTTATTAAATTTTTTAGACGTCAGTTAACTTAATTTTCATATTTGGTCGTCGTTTTTTTTTAACAATTTGGAAAAAAATAAATAAAATTATTCCTTATATGTACTTTCTAATGCACCCAGAAATTTGAAAATTTCATCACGCATGCGCAGTAAATTAAAAATGGCTTCTCGCGGTAAATAATATTTTTAATAACGATGTAAACAATAAAACAAAATTAATTATTTTTTGTACAGAAATTATGATTTAATTTATATAAATAACAAGTTGGCAATAATTTAAATATTTGTAAATAAAAATAAATTTTAAAATAATTTTATGTTTCACATAAATCATAGTGCTGATACTAACCTGTAAGTATTATTAAATATTTTTGTAAACATAAATAAATATATATTTATTTTCAGTGTTTTGACAATTTAAAATTGGAATGACCAATTTTTCAATTAGTTGTAAATAATTTGATAATCAGGATGTCAAAACGTTTTGGACGAACCAATAGTTCTGAAAATGCCAAGAGACCAAAGTTGGATATATCAGTTAGCCAGATATCCCGAGAGACAAATCTCAATTACAGGACTAATGTTCCAATCACTAGTACCTCCAGTTCCTCGAGACCGTCGACGGTGGAAGTAGACACGGACGAATGGGGCGAAGATCCTGAGGAAGAAGACCTCGAGGAAATTGAAATGATAGAGTCTCAGGCGTCTCAGAATGTCAACACGTCAGTGATAAGTATTAATCCTTCTCAATTTAAATTTAACTCGGTTAAAATTAGCCAGCCAGTGTCGCGGATTAACTCGAATCCGCAGCCGCAGCCGTCGACGTCGAAATTCAACCAAGACTTCAGGCCACATCAGCCATCTCAGATTCTAGCTTCGTCGAAGAATTTTCGCGTCCCACCTTTGCAAACTCTCGGATCATCTAGTAATTTGAAAACAATTGCAGAGACGCCAACGTCTGATGAATTCCGGAATAATCTTTTGGTGAACAATCGGTTAAATTCAACCTTCCAAGCTAAAAATGTTGTCGCTGACCCCGACGAGGAAAACCGCAAGAAGCTGGAGAAGCTGGAGAGTGAGAACAAAAAGCTGCTTGATGATTTGAGGATAAAGGAGGGCGAGTCTATCTACTTGAGGAAGCAGCTGAATACTGCGCTGACCAAAACCAACCAGCTGTCAGTGGAAAAAGAGTGCGCTCTTGAGCGACAGGCTAATCAGTACCAAATACAAATCAATGAACTGACTAAAAAAAATGCAGCGCTCACCACACAATTGGAGTTTAATAATCACGATATTATTAAAGTCGCTGATAAGCTAAAAAAAGCTTCTCGCGTTCAGTCGCCGCAAAATAGTCTTCTTAATACTTCGGCGAAGAAAAAAATAAACCAGACGTCCCAAGCGTCTTTTTCATCCAGTACAATATATAAATTAAAGACTCACGTAGTTCTATATCCGTTTGAAGAAATTCCTCCAACGATTTTCCAGCCATCGTTGCCAGAGAAGCCTATAGTTAATATCCAGATTGTAGATAGAAGTGGAAAATGTAATTTACCTATTTTAGAGGATGAAAAAACACTGAGGATTTTTGAAAATCCCCAAATTGTCAAGCCTATGGTTACAGTAATTGATAAAAAAAATTTAAATGTTGAATTTTTGCATGTGGATGTCGCGAGGATTATTAAAGTTACTGAGGAAGAAATAAATTCACAGGATGTTATTTTAATAATTAACAAGGTAATTAATTTTTATTAGTAACCTTGCAGTCACTATGTGACTGCCGTGACTTGTGAACTATAAATAAATAAAATTTTGGTTTATTAAATAATGACTTTTGATCAATTGCACCGTACTTTCTTAAATATTGAAGATTTTAAAGATATAAGCTCATCCCGGTGTTACACTTATCAAGAGCTTTCATTTGAGTACTTACATGCATTTTGATATATTTTTCATATATTCATATATGTATAAATATATGAAATATATGAAAAATTGATGTGGGTACTCAAATGAAAGGTCTCGATGAGAGTAACATCGGGATGAGCTTATATCTTTAAAAATGTCAATAGTTCACAAGATACAAGGTCATTTCTTAATTATTGATATTTTTAAAGATATAAGCTCATCCTGATGTTACACTCATCAAGAGCTTTCATTTGAGTACCCACATAAATTTTT